TAGTCTTTTTTTTTGTACTAGTTTCAGGTGTACAAAGCAATGTAATAGTTAGACATTTATACCCCTCAGAAAATTATACCCCCCCAATCTATTACCCCTCTGATATCATATATAGCTGTTACTGTACCACTGATTATATTCCCTATGCTGTACTCCACATCCTGTGACATTCAGTATTATTCAACTTCAGCTTCAGGTGTACAATGCAGTGGTCAGGCAACTACACAGTCCATGAAGTGATCTCCCCGACAAGTCCCGCTCCCATCTGGCACCCCACATAATCTTTACAACATTACTGACTATATTCCCTATACTGCTCTTCACATCCCCATGACTACACAGTGACCACCAATCTGCACTTTCCAATCCCCCACCTTCTCCCCCATCAGTTATTTTTTCCTATATCTCTAAGTCTATTTCTGATATGTCTGTTCATTTATTCTGTTGTTTAGATTCCACATATAAGTGAGATTATGTGGTATTTGTTTTTCTCGGTCTGACTTATTTCACTTAGCTTAATGTCCTCTAGGTCTATCCATGTTGTTGCAAATGGTAAGATTTCATTCTTTTTTATGGTCTAGAAATATTCCATTGTATAAATGACCACAGTTTCCTTATCCAATCATCTACAATGTACATTTTGATTGTTACCATGTCTTGGCTATTGTGACCAGTGCTACAATAAACATAGGGGTGCATATATATTTTTTTTTGAATTAGTGTTTTGTGTTTCTTTGGATAGATACTTAGGAGTGGATTTGCTGAGTGATAAGGTAGTTCCATTTTCAATTTTTTGAGGCACCTCTATACTGTTTTTCATAGTGGCTGCACCAATTTGCAATCCCACCAACAGTGCACAAGTGTTCCCTTTTCTTCACATTTTTGCCAACACTTGTTTGTTGATTTGTTGGTGACCGTCATTCTGACAGGAGTGAGGTGGTATCTCATTGTGGTTTTTATTTGCATTTCTCTAATGATTAGCGACGTTGAGAATTTTTTCATATGTCTGTTTGCCATCTGTGTGTCCTCTTTAGAGAAATGTCTTTTCATGTCCTTGGTGTTTTATGAGTTTTTTTAATAAATTTTGGATATTAACCCCTGATCAGATGTATCATTGGCAAATATCTTCTCCCATTCACTAAGATGTATGTTTGTTTTATTGATGTTTTCCTTTGCTGTAAAAACCTTTTTAGTTTGATGTAATTCTCCACATTTATTTTTTCTTTTGTTTCCCTTGCTCAAGGGGATATACGAGTAAAAATATCACTAAGACTAATCTCTGTGAATTTACTTCCTATATTTTCTCCTAGGAGTTTTATGGTTTTAGATCAGATCTCACATTTAAGTCTTTAATCCATTTTGAGTTTTTTCTTGTGTATGGCATAACAAGGTGGTCCGGTTTCATTTTTTTTTGCATGTATCTATCCAGTTTTTCCAGCACAATTTATTAAATAGACTGTCTTTATCCCAAAGTAAATTCTTGCTTCCATTGTCATAGATTAAATTACCAAATAGGCATGGACTTATTTCTGGGCTTTCTATTCTGTTCCATTGATCTGTGTGTTTATTTTTATACCAGTACCATGCTGTTTTGATTACTATAGCCTTGTAGTATGATTTGATATCAGATAATATGATACTTCCCACTTTGTTCTTATTTCTCAAGATTGCCAAGGCTACCCGGGGCCTTTTATGGTTCCATACAAATTTTAGGATTATTTGTTCTAGTTCTGTGAAAAATGTCATTGGTAATTTGAGGGATTGCATTGAATCTATATATTACCTTAGGTAGCATGGACATTTTAACTATATTAGTTCTTCCTATCCACGAGCATGTTATATGCTTCTATTTATTTGTATCTTCTTTAATTTCTCTCTTCAATGTCTTATAATTTTCTGAGTACAGGTATTTTACTTCCTTGGTTAAGAGAATTAGTCTTTTAACAACCTCAAATGGAGCATTTGTATTTATTTATTTATTTATTTATTTATTTATTTATTTATTTATTTATTTATTTATTTTTAATCCCAGAAAGATTCTTCCCAATGATTCTTAGATATTTGGTGTACTCTCTCATGTCAATGAGTATTATTTGGAGAATGTAAAGTAATTCTAATTCTAATATCAATATGAGAAATAATACTATAAAGTTATATTTCATATATAATAAATATAGCTGTGTGTACAGAGAGAGAGAGAGAGAGAGAGAGAGAGAGAGAGAGAGAGAGAGAGAGAGAGAGAGAGAAAGAAAGAAAAGAAAGGAAATGCAATCAAGGAAATGAGGTCCTGAAAAAGTTTGGAGAGCTATCAAGAGGTGAAAATGTGCCCTATATAGAAAAGTGGATGACTTTCTCATTGTAATATGAAGAAAGAAGAAAAATATTGGAATGTATACACATATAATTATAGGAAATTGAAGGAGTTCTTATTATTCATTCCCCCCCCCCCGGGAAAGAAGAGGTTAGGTCTTAAAATTTTGAAGACAGGTGGAGAAGGTTTGAAAAAGCTGTAATGTGGAATGAGAGTGAGAAGAAAATGCAGAAGAATCACTAGGCAGAATGAGAACTTGGTTGAAGATAGAGACTACACAGTGTGGTCACCAGTGTGGTATTAGCATTTTCTTCATCTCTGCTTGGTGTTTAGCACAGAGTGTAAAGCACAGAAAACAGTTGACTGATCTAGCTCTGAAATTTTACCAGAATGGGATGGCGGAAGAACAAAGGAGCCAAGTGGTCAATTGTATTCTCAAGAGAGTAGTTGAAGTAGTAAACCAGGAAGGCTAAACTGGTTAGAGAAAGAGTCAGGTTTTTGCATTAGGAAAGACATAAATATTATTGTAGAAGATGGAGTAGTCCACATGGACAGATTTTGAGATAGAGGAGAGGGAAAGGCAAGAGGAAAATAAGTTAGGGATGTCGTTCTCAGCCTTAACTGAACATTAGAATCCTTTGGGGATCTTTAAAAAAAAAAAACCGATGCCCAGATCCCGTCTTCAGGGATTCTGGTCAAATTGCTCTGTAGTATATCTGGGGCAACAGGAGTATATTTTATAGCCAAGTTGAAAATTCTTGTTTAGAGTCGCTAGTAAAAAAAAAATCATATAGTTTTTGCAAAGTAGTTGGCACTTTATTTTCAAGGTAATGGAGAATCAGCAAAGGTTTTAAAAGCAGCATAAGTTGTTATATATTTTATCATTCTTTTTTAGATTATTTATTAAAATTTATTTTTCTGTTATAGTTGATATACCTTTAGAAGAGTGACTGACTGATATTCAAAGAGAATGATTAGGAAAATAGAAGACTAATGAAGAGAATATTTCAGTATTCCAGGCTAGAGATAATAACGAGACTAGAAATCTTGAATGAGGAACTGATAAAAGAATTGTAGAATAGGGTGCATATTTGTGATGTTTTAACATAAGAACTTATTACTCCTATTAATATGTGTGTAAAATGATGGAGGAAGGTCTAACATGACTGTGGGATTTTTATTTTGAATAATCTGTTAGTTTTCAATTGCTGCATAACAAATTACCACAGCCATAGCTCTTATTTATTATTTCAGTTCCCATGGGTCAGGAGGACAGGCATGGCTTCTCTAGATTCTCTGCACTAAGAGTCTCATCAGGCTACAGCCACTGTGTGTGCCAAGACTAAGGTCTCAGCAGAGGCTTGACTGGGGAAAGCTCCTCTTCAAAGCTCCCTTGGAATTATGGGCAGAATTCATCTCCGTGCACCTGTAGGGCTGAGGCCCCTGTTTTCTTGCTGGCTGACAGCCAGGGGCTGCCCTCAGGCCCTAGTGGCTGCTCCCAGTTGCCAGGCACGTTGCCACCCTATGGGCATTTCCTAGCATGGTTGTTTCCTTCTTCAAGACCAGCAGGAAAATCTTTCCCCACAAAAGGGCCCAGTCACTCTTTTACAGGTTTTCACCTGATTGTCCGGCCCAGTCAGGATAATCTTCCTTTTGGTAAATTCAAAATCAACAGATTTGGCATGTTAATAATGTCTTGGAATTCCCCTCTCCTTTGCCACATACTGTAACTTAATCATGTGAGTGCCATCCAGCCATACAGGTCCTGCCCATGCTCAAGGAGAAGAGGTTACACAGGCATGTACATCAGGTATAGGCGTCAGATTTGTTGCAGTTATTTAAGATAGGAATACAAGAGCATTAAACAGTTTTAGGAGGACATTGATGGCCTCAGTTTTAGACATGTTGAATTTGGGGTAATTGGGAATGCAATCAGAGTGGATAAGTAGGTAGCATAGAACTCAATAGATAGGTCAGAGTTAGAAATACATATTTGGTAGTGATCTTTAAATGTAATAGATAAATAATGAGATTATCCAGAGAAAGATTGTAGCAAGAACTGGACTGAGGACAAAAACAAGACCAAATAAGGTTAGATCATCTGCATCTGTATTTCAACCCAAATCTCTTGATTCCAATCCAATATCTCATTATACAACCTTTCCCTATTCCTCTACTTTCTTCTTTCAGTAATATCCTGTTCTTCCGAATTTGTGGTGCCCTCTCTGCCTACCTCCTACCTCCTACCTGGGAGTGAGAATCAAGGTCTTTCTTAGTGAAACCTTGCCGATCACAGACACTAAGAAAGATTGACTCTGTTATGCTTCCTGTGCCCAGATGAGAATGATAGAAATGGCAGGACACAGGCCAGTGAGGGAAGATGGTACCATCATTAGCCATGAACTGCTTGATTTCTTCTTATCAGAAAGCAGGACTAACTGCATCTTTCTTGCTTCTTCCACCCCAGAATTGCCTATGAAGTAAACAGACGGCACAAACTTGGAATGCTGATAAAATCATACGTATCTATCTCTGAAAGCTTCTGTCTGTTTATTTGTGTAGAAAACTATTAAATCTATTGCAGCAATATTGTTGAACAACCTGAGCTGTAGTCATGGGTTAGAAAGTAAATCTAATCAGTACATTTCACTCAGACTTTCCTCCCTTCTCTTGAATCTTTTTCTTTCAGGTTTTATTCAAGAAGAATGTGTCATCCCTTGCCCATTTGATTGCAAGTTGAGTGATTGGTCTAGTTGGGGGTCTTGCAGTTCATCTTGTGGCATTGGAGTGAGACTTCGATCCAAATGGCTAAAAGAAAAACCTTACAATGGAGGTCGCCCATGTCCTAAACTGGATCTCAAGAATCAGGTAAAGTACATGAAGCAGCAAGTAAAAGCTAAAACAGTATTCCCTTTATTATTTCCTATTAAAATTGAAGTCATTATATTGTTACAAGCAGCTCATAAAAGGTTATCAGAAGTTCAGAAGGGGGGTTCAGGGGGCACTAATTAATATAATACTAACTAATATAATATTAGTGATAGAAGCCTTGGCCACTCCTAGGTAATGTTCAGATCAACAGATCAACTTGGTATTATTAGCAATAATAATGTTTACAAAATTTAAATCAAATTGATTTTAAATGATCTTGAGTAATTTGATTAACCATGATATTATAAAAGTGATGTGTGCATATATACATACACAAATATGTATATGCATATATAATAATGTTGGGAGAATGTCAGTTAATTTATCATCATAAATATAATTACTGGCCTCATCTATATACTCCAAAATGGTATTCTATTTTTTCTTCACCTAACTCTTTATTCTAATTGGCTTTGTTCTCAGTCTTGACAGTGTCCCCACAGCTCTTCAATGTCTCTTCTGAGTTATTTCTCCACCTGTTTCCCCAAAAGTCAAAGCTGTTTTCACAAACAGAACCTTGAAGGATACTCTTCCATATACTCCTAGATATCTAATAAAAGAGCTATCCTAAACAATCGAAGTTGATTTAAATATTTTAGTTGACCTTACCCATATAACAGCATCTAAGATTTAGTTAGGAATAATAATAAAGAAGTAAAATTTCTTCTATGATTGCTCACTGGTTATTAGATCAAGACTGATATACATATATAAAATATTGTAACCCAGTAGAATTGGTGGAGAACAAGATGTTAAAAGTTTTTTTATACTTAGAGAGGTGAACTGTGCCCTATATCATTATATAGAGCCTTTATACTCAGAAACTATTTTAACAGAAGAGCTTCACAGGTTTCTGTTGCTAATTCTAGTGTATTAATTTCTGTCCTCTTAATCCCATTTTGATTAGACTTTCCAGACAGATTGTTTAATGGAAAGGAAACCTATGCATTTTTTTCTTAATTAATTTGCATAGCATGTCTAGTACTACTTGGATTTAGATATCATTTGTCAATTCAAGACCAATATCTCTATCTATTTTGTTCCTATCTTTTGACAAAAGACATGCAATTCACTGAAAACGAAAACTTATGACTCTAACAAAAAATATTTAAGTTCTAAGCCAGGGCAGGGTGTTATGCTAGTCTTGTATTTTACGGTTATGTGGTAAAATATTGTCCATAGTTTCTTCTCTCATAGCTGATGTGAACCTTTTTAGAAAACAAGACAGAGGATCATGAAATCAACATAAAGTTTGCAAATAAGTTCCACAAGTACAGTAGTTTGGTGAAGAGAAGGTTAATAAAGGTTAATGAAGGGATATCATTAATGAAAATAGGAGGCCAATAATCAGAACAAAGATAATCTGAAATAATAAGCCCTACTTCAGTACAAAGAAAGGAATAATACAGGTTTATGAACAGAAGAAAGACTTTCAAGTGAATATTCTGTACGTAGACTATTTGACCATCCCCAGAGGATTTTCTAGGCATTTATAATGGAAAATAACTAGTAAGCCTTTATGGTTATATATAACATATGATAATTCTCAAATCTTCTTCAAAAGCATCAATAAAATCTAAGTCTTTATAACACTGGTGTTACTAATTTTAATGTTAATTTTATGAACTAGGAAATTATCAAAGGAATAAAAGGACTTTATTTGAGCATAGACTTTAAGACTATATTCTCAGTATGCAAATGCAAATGTATAGAAATGTTCTATTAAATTTGAAAGTATGAGTAAGATAAATGTACTTATAAGCCTGTTATGACTTAAAGGAAATTTGTTGTATACATTTAATTGAAATATAAAACTTATAACCTTATGAAGTAATGCAAGCTAAAAATTAACCCAAAGGTACAACAATACTCTAGATAAATTCTATAAATGAAAATTAAGTGAAGGTGGGCCTGTTTGCAGGAGATGTTTCTAACTTTTGAGCTCCAGAAAGGAATTGTAGCATTCCAAAGACATTTGTTAGCTGTGATGCTAATAATGAATCCTGAGACATAAAGATAGGAAATTGAGCTTAGTATGCCTTATATTCTAATATAAAGAGTTTTCCGGTATCTTGCGCGTATGTGGTTTAATTGTTTTCCGGTATCTTGCGCGTATGTGGTTTAATTAAATTTGAATCATAAAACTTCACTTCAATCCATACTTCATATTTTAGCATAAGTTAATTGATCACAACAATAAGTAATAAGCTTTCCCTCTCTCTTGCAAATCTGTGAATGGCAGGGAAGGTACTATTGCGAGAAATCCTAAATTTAAAAGAAATCCTCCTCAAAGCAATTCCTATTTTAAAACAAATACATACCTGTAAGTATATTTGTGGAAAGCTATCTGTGGCAACTTCATTGCATATTTTCTCTTATATATAGTAGAATCTTCTCTCTCTCTCTCTCTCTCTCTCTCTCTCTCTCTCTCTCTCTCTCTCTCTGTGTGTGTGTGTGTGTGTATAACATATAGAATTTTTTGATGTTATCTGTAGTTTCTTAATTCATTTGAAAATAAATTGAGTTGTCAGGAATTTTCATTATTTAGGAAATATCCCCAAGCGTCTATGATTGATGGCAATTCTTCTTTAGGAGAAACTGTTATTTGTTTCTCTAAGCTGGAAATATGGTCTAGTTAGAGGTACACCCACTTGAGGCTCTTTTGTAGAGTTCAGTTTTACTCCTGGCTTTAGGATATTTGTCTTCTTTCCAATTGGTTTTCAGGTTTGGATTTATTTTTCTATTTTTGGTACCAGATTAATACCCTGTCATCCACTCACCCATAAGTAAGAGTTTTAAAAATTGAAACCAAATTATTACAGTAAAAGAGGCACATATCTTTAGTACCTATGCATGAGGAAAATTCAGTATGTCAGATTGAGCCAAACATATTGTTCATAAGAAACATTGAACTTCCTCATGTGTATGCCTATTATGCATATGCCTATGTAAATGTTAGCATACCTGCGTATGCTTATCCATTCTCCTTCTTCATTTCTCTTTAGAACGTGAGGTCTTTTGAGGGCAAGGGCTATCTTTCTACTTTTGTAATTCATTCCAGCCCCTAGTACACTATCTTGTGGATTGTCAAAGTATATTCATTGGAGCTTTATTTGAAAAGGAAGCTTCTCTCTGGATAAGTGAGTGGCTAGTTCCATAGAAAGACAAAATATATTAGAACTCTGGTCTCTGTTTTTTTCCAATCATTTTCTTCTTTTTTAAAATTAAATTTATTGGAGTGACGTTGGAATAGTAAAGTTATATATGTTTCAAGTATACAATTATATAATACATCATCTATGTATTGCATTGTGTGTTTGCCACACAAAGTCACTTCTCATTCCTTCACCATATATTTGACTTTCTTTACCCTCTTCTACCTACCCTTGCCCCCTCCTGCACCCCCACCTCCCTTACCCTGTGATAGTGACTAAACTGTTGTCTGTGTCTGTCAATTTTTGTTTCTTTGTTTGTCTTGTTTGTTTGTTGCTTTCAGTTATATATCCCACATATGAATGAAATCATATGATTCTCGACTTTTCCTAACTCATTTTGCTTAGCATGATAATCTCAAGATCCAATCCATCCATATTGTAGCAAATGTCAGCATCTACCCAAATAACCTGAAAACACCCGTAAAACTATATGTACCCCTCTGTTCATTACAACATTATTCATCATGACCAAGACATGGAAACAACCAAAGTGTCCTTTGATGGATGATTGGGTAAAGAAGACATGGTATATATACACAATGGAATATTACTCAGCCATAAGAAAAGATGAACTCTGGTCTCTTATGCTGTGATTTTTTATTCAAATTCTCAAAAACATGAGCTCTTCTAGAGGAAAGAAATAAGAATCTCCAAATTATTATTGCCCAGAGTCTTTGAAGACTTGCTTGAAAAATCCGGGGTGTTTGTATACCCACTGAAATCTAACTCAGTGATATAAATGGAAAGGTTAATATTATATAATGCATACAAGCTCATAGACTGTTCTGAATCTGTTAGTGAAATCAGTATTTATAATCTCTCATAAAAAGCCTCCCTTTTAGACCAAAACCTATCAACATGTTAGCTCTTTTTCTAGAAGTGCCAAAATGACAGCAATATTTGAATAGCTTTCTGCTAAGAATATTTGTGATGCTAAACAGCTCAAGCATACAGCTTACCCAAAGCTCTTACCTAAGTGGAAAACTTCTAAATAGTTTAATGGATTATCAGATCAGTTGATTGATGTCCTTGTTGCTGCTGTACATAATAAAATACATAATATATTTTAATATTTTACAGCCTGTAATGTGTTGGGTGGGTTTAAGTGCAATTGTACTATATATTTTTGTTTTTTCTTTTGGAATTCTGCTTAATAGAAGATTAAATATAGGGGCACTGACATTAAACCTCCATTAGACTTCCATTTCCCTTTATGAGCTCTTCACACAGTTGAAGGCAAGAGAGTTCCAGAAAATTATATTTTGTTTACATGTTGCAAATCTTGCATTCACAGTTTGTTTGAATAAAAATCTTACACTGAGACTCATTACCTATAAGTTTTTTAAATGCACGCTATTTAAATACATTTTGAAAGTGTTTTGACAGTGTTTGCAGCTGAATGAAGGGATACAAATTAAATATGTGTGCTCTCTAGAAACAATTGCTATTCTAAAGGCCTGTCTTCTCCTCAAAGAGAAGTGGCCTAATTTTGGAAATGATGAGTGTAATGCATTTTATTTTCTAAAGCAGTCTAATAATGTTTTAAAGAATAGTTTTTCCGTATATAAATTATATATATATATATATATATATATATATATATATATATATATATATATATATATATATATATATATATATATATATATATATATATATATATATATATATATTAGCATGAACATTTCTCTTTAGAAGAAGGCTTCTGGATGAGAAAAGGTT